TCTCAGAAGTTCGACGTGAGGAAAGCAGAAAAAGGGTGATGATGGGTAGCCAAAATCAACCTGCTTCAACAGAAGGATCAGCCTTGGTTACCCAAAACTCCAGTCCCTCAAACTATGACAACCGTCCTCGAAAAGGCAGACCATGGTGTGACCATTGCCGCAAATTAGGTCATACCCGAGAAACATGCTGGAAAATACATGGAAAACCATCAAACTGGAAGCCAAGATCAGAAAGAGAACCACGAGGATATCAAACTGCAGCCGACGATCAGCCACCGGTCCCTGTTCCAGACAGCCATAGTTCCGGTGCCTTATCTCTCAACAAGGACCAAATGGAGCAGCTGATCAAACTCCTTAACCAGTCTAGCACAAATTCCAGCAATCCTTCGTCTTTCTTAGCCCAAAAAGGTAGTTTTAAAATTGCTTTAAGTGTCAGCAAAAAGGAACCCTGGATCATTGATTCAAGAGCCACCGATCACATGACAGGTTGTGCAAATTTTTTCTCTTCATATAATCCATGTCCTGGAAATCTAAAAATAAAAATTGCAAATGGTTCATTATCTCCCGTTGCAGGAAAAGGCTCAATTCCAATTTCAAAGAGTCTAACCCTCAAATCTGTTATTTATGTTCCTAATCTTTCATGTAATCTTTTGTCTATTAGCAAACTGACTAAGGATCTAAACTGTATTGCTAAATTCTCTCATTCCTTGTGTGAATTTCAGGAACTGTCTTCGGGGAAGACGATTGGCAGTGCTAGGGAATGTGAAGGGCTCTATTACTTTGATGAGGACATAGTCGAGAGTGGACAAGCTCAAAAAACAAGCTGTGAGAGTAAAGTTCTTTCTTTATCTGGAGAAAAAGAAATAATGTTGTGGCATCGTAGACTTGGCCACCCTAGTTTTTCCTATTTAAAAAACCTATTTCCTTCATTATTCAAGAATAAAAATCCAGCTTTATTTCAATGTGAAATATGTCAACTTGCTAAACATCATCGTACTTTTTTTCCATCTCAACCGTATAAATCATCAAAACCTTTTTTCCATCATTCATAGTGATATTTGGGGGCCTTCTAAAGTAACAACTTTTACTAGTAAAAAATGGTTTGTAACCTTCATTGATGATCACACCAGAATTTGTTGGGTCTTTCTCTTAAAAGAAAAATCTGAAACTGCGCATATTTTCAAAGAATTTCACTCCATGATCCAAAATCAGTTTAAACAAAAATTCAAATATTAAGAACTCATAATGGTCGTGAATATTTTAACTCTGTTCTCAGTGAGTTTCTTAACAAACATGGCATTATTCATCAAAGCTCATGTGTGGATACCCCCCAACAAAATGGCCTCTCTGAAAGAAAAAACCGTCATCTCCTAGAAGTGGCTCGGTCTATCATGTTCACCTCAAATATGCAAAAAACTTTTTGGGGAGAAGCAATTCTCACTGCCTCTTATCTCATAAACCGTATGCCCACTAGAGTCCTAAATTACCAGACTCCCCTCAACTCCTTGATTGAAGCCTATCCTTACATACATTTCATTAGCAACCTACCTCTCAAAGTGTTTGGTTGTACTGTTTTCGTCCATATACATAGCCATAACTGTGGCAAGCTTGATCTAAGAGCCATAAAATGTGTGTTTATGGGATACTCTCCAACTCAAAAGGGTTACCAATGTTATTCTCCAGAAAAAAGGAAATTTTTCACCTCCATAGATGTCACCTTTTTTGAGAACCAGTCATTTTTTTCAAAAACTGATCTTCAAGGGGAGCAGCATATTTCGGAATATCAGTTTTGGGATATTTCTCTACCTAACTCAACCCCATCTCAACCAGATCAACCTCCACCTTCTCCTCATAATCCTACTATGCCATTAACATGTGAAAATTCTCAGATAGGGGGAGAACTTCAACAGCCAAATGAACAAGAGCTACGGGTTTACACTCGACGAAACAATCAACGAGTAATAGAGCAACCACCATCTCAGCATCGCCAAGAATCCGAACCTCAGATAGTGACTCGAAATTCTAATTCAGGTAATCTCCCCTTCGAGTCTACTCCTATAATAATGAATCTGGTCTAGATTTGCCAATTGCCCTTAGAAAAGGAATTCAATCATGCACCCTTCATCCTATCCCTAGATTTGTTTCGTATAAAAAATTATCACCATCCTATAGAGCTTATACCACTAATCTTTCCAATGTCGAAATTCCAAATTTTATACAGGAGGCTTTATTTATTCCAGAGTGGAGAGAAGCTATTAAAGAATAAATGAGGGCTCTTGAAAAAAATGGCACGTGGGAATTGGTAAACTTGCCTACAGGAAAGAAAACAGTGGAATGTAAATAGGTCTTCACTGTGAAGTATAAATTTGATGGCTCTATTGAGAGATATAAAGCTAGACTTGTAGCGAAGGGATTTACTCAGACATATGGAGTGGACTACCAGGAGACTTTTGCACTGGTGGCAAAACTGAACACCATCCGAGTCCTTTTATCTTTCCCAGCAAATTTGGATTGGCCTCTACAACAACTAGATGTGAAGAATGCCTTTCTTAATGGAGATCTTGATGAGGAGGTATACATGGATAGACCACCAGGATTTGAAAACATGAGCGAATTTGGGAAAGTATGCAAATTGAAGAAATCCCTTTATGGGTTGAAACAGTCACCACGTGCTTGGTTCGAAAAATTCACTAGAGCAATTCGCAGCCATGGACATAGTCAAAATCAAGCAGATCATACTTTATTCTATAAACAATCCCGTGAAGGGAAAGTCACAATATTAATTGTTTATGTTGATGATATAATCCTCACAGGTGATGATCTTGAAGAAATGAAACTATTGAAAAAGACTGTGGCTAGTGAATTCGAGATTAAAGATCTTGGTTTCTTAAAATATTTTTTGGGCATGGAAGTTGTAAGAACCAGCAAAGGAGTCTTAGTCTCACAGCGAAAATACACTCTGGATTTACCAAAGGAGACAGGTATGCTTGGCTGTAAACCTGCTGACACTCCGATGGATCCTAATCAAAAGCTAGGACTAACAGAAGGTGGAACTCCTATGGATAAAGGCATGTATCAACGATTGGTTGGAAAGCTGATCTAATTGTCTCACACACGTCCAGGCATAGCCTTCGCAGTTAGCGCAGTCAGTCAATTCATGCATTCTCCTAGAAAGGATCACTTAGAAGCCGTGTACAGAATCCTCAAGTACCTCAAAAGAACTCCTGGTAAAGGCCTGTTTTTTGGAAAACATGAAGAGAAGAAAATTGAGGCATACACAGATGCTGATTGGGCAGGGTCAATTACAGATAGAAGGTCCACTACTGGTTACTATACGTTTATTTGGGGAAACTTAGTAACCTGGCGAAGTAAAAAACAAACAGTTGTTGCTACAAGCAGTGCAGAGGCTGAATTTCGAGCTATGGCTCAGGGTATTAGTGAATTATTGTGGTTAAAGTTATTATTACAAGCATTAAAAATTGAAGCAAATTTGCCTATGAAGTTGTATTGTGATAATAAGGCTGCGATCAGTATAGCTCATAACCCTGTTCATCACAATCGAACAAAGCATGTGGAAGTAGATCGTCATTTTATCAAAGAGAAAATTGAAGGAGGAACAATCTGTATGACATTTGCTCCTACAAGTAGCCAATCTGCTGATAACTTGACAAAGGGCCTACCGTGATTGAATTTCGAAAAATTAGGAGACAAGCTGGGCATGATCGACATCTATGCTCCAGCTTGAGGGGGAGTGTTGAGAATTCTTTCTTTTTTTTCAATACGTAGTGGAGACATGGATTTATCCGTGTATAGCTAGCACCCTAATCTTAGGGTATAAATGCTAGCTGATTGTGTTTCCTATTTAATGTTGATTTGATTCTTTTCGTGTGTTGACTTTCATAGTTTAATTCCTATTTATTAGTTGCTTGTTTTTTTCCATCAATTTAGGAAATTGAGTAGCTGGTCTGTAGCCTCCAAATCTTCCTATTTACGTATTGTTTCTATACAATTTCTAAATATGCAATAAGATAATTTCTTCTTCTCTTTCTCTCGGAGTATTCATCTATCATCATTAAACAACACTGTTCGAGATCAAGTTTCGTCAACCCTAGATCAGAATCAACTACAAATATTTAAAGAAAACTCTTGACAAATCAATTCAAGACCAAACTCCAACAACCCTAGGATCCAATCAACAAAGAAGATAATATCAGAGGACAAGTTCTGTCTTTTGTAAAGAATACATTAAAGGATTGTACCCGTTATTTTTTATAACTTAATAAATTATTATTTGCTCCATATTTCATTCTTTAATTTGCAGACAAGAAATTTATGTGTACATGGTCCACTAAATAGGCCTCGATGGAATCAAAGGCTATAACCTAGTGGTCTCTCCTAGACTTTCAAAGTAGAAGGTCAAGGATTCAAGTACTGGGTGTGTGTGTGCGCTTCTTGCCAAGGTAAAAAATATATATAATAGGCCTCAGTGGATGGGTCCAATAGCCCCAAACCTGGACCCACAAGGAGGGCCACAGCTGCACCATGTGGGCTTGTGCCTGCAGCGGTTCACCTACCCAAACCTTTAGAAACCCAATTTTTTCCTGCAAATTTTCCAGCCATTTTCCTTGATTTTCCTCCATCAAATCACCCCTCTAAACAGACTCAAATCCAACCTAATGCAGGGGCTATTGTCCTGCTGCTCACCAAAATGAATTAAAATATCTAAAAATGATGTTGAACTACATATTGAACAAAATTTGAATACAAACATGAGGTTTCGGCCATGACGTTGAGAACTTGAGACTAATTTTTTACTAAATGGTACATATTATCCTCCTTCCATATCAACAATTACTTAGTCTAAAACACCATCTATGAGTTAAGGATCCATGTGCTCTTTATATTAAGTTGTGTGTGTATATATTCAACCATATTTGAGTATATATATACCTGTATTCATCGATATACAAATATTTATATATATACATATACACAACCCATATATTTACAGTGTGCGTAATCTATGTTTCCTTCATCTAACAGTATGCAATTTAATCCCCATATGTAAGACATCCATCGCCTAATTATCTTGAAACCATTACATATAGGAAAATAAATATTTGTATGTAAGTTCCATCACATAGGAACGAGGTAAAACAGTTTGCAGATTCTAAAAATGCATATTCTATTTTATATATAAACGGATAGATATAGAAATAATCACATAGAGATTTCTCATTGAAATATTTAAATAGATATGCATACAAGTGTATATGGAGGCAAGGCATCATTAACATGCCTGATCAGGTGCTCCTACTTGAATTCTTCCTCCTTCAAGCCCATCTCTCCAAGTCTCCTACAGGATATATTGTTTCTTGTAAATATATAAAATGTTTAACTGTATAAAAACAGGGGTAGCTGATTAGAACATGAGGATATTGGAGTGAATGCGGGAACTTGGGGAAAATGATACTGAAAATGATTCCGACTCTTATAGTGAGTTTGTTAGGGTTCTGGAGCTACAACCTTGTTTGTTTACAAGTTAGCCATTATCTCACTTATTTAATATTTATAATGTTTTCTAAAATATTATCTATATATATGTGTGTGTGTGTATATAGACACGCACACATATGAATTTAAAATCTGTCACATTTATGGTCTCACTATGCCAGGATGGTGCAACTGTGCAAGTGCCAACACCAAAAGCCTCACTGGAGGTCAGGCAGGCCACTTGAAAGTTAAGCTCACAACCAAATTTATAGACACAGTTCAAGCAACAAAAGGGGTTACTTCCATGAATGCAGGAACTCAATACATAGAGTTGGGCATCAAAACTCAGATGATCTAATATATCATCTGACATCTGCTTTCTCATAGTCTCAGGCATCATAACTTACAGAGTATACAATTCTGGTATGTGTTGTCAAACTGTAATAAAGCACATTATCCAAAATACAATACAAATGGAAATAAATAAGGAACAGAAAATTTCATCAGAGTACATGTGTGCAACAATATTAGTACAAAGGCGCCAAAGATATCTGATATCTCAATCCATTGAAGGGGAGAACTAAATCCAACACTTCATAAAAAATGAGTCAGTTGAATAAATAAACCATAAAAACAAAGAGAGGATGGAAGATAATTACTACCCAAGGACAGTATGTGGAATTGGAGGAACTGGAGTAGGCCACCATGGGAGCATGAACGGGAAGACCATTGTGTACAGAAAGCGGGAGGCACGGGAATTTGCAAGTTCACATACCGTTTTGAATTCTCTGCTCCTCCACACATTGCAGTGCATAATGCGATCCGGTAACCAGAGATATAGAATATCACTGTCCCTGGGGTGAAAAGCTACTACTGTCAAAGGGGAAACAAGGGAGTGTACTTTTGGAAGAAGCATGTGCACCAAGGACCATTCAACCCCATCACTGTAATTGTTGTCATTGAGTTCCCAAATGGTGATTCGGTAACCCTTAAATTGAGCAAACCTGAGATGCCCTTTGCACTCTCCTACGGCATGTTTACCGGCTTTGGAGTCATATTCCTTTGGCATGTCTATGGTACCATGTGGATGGTTGGGGTTGTATGGATCTAAAACAAAGAAAATGCTGCTGAATCTCCAATACAATATTCCTCTGCAATCAACTGCACAACACGAACCAAAAAGGTGCTCGCGGGGGGACATATAGGGGACTCTGTCCATGTTCCTGTCTCTGATGAAAATATCTCCAAATTGGGAGTGTTCAGCTCGAGTAATCCTTCATCCCCACAACACATCCTCACCACCCTGAAGCTACTTTTTTCGAAATCTTTATCATCAACGCGAGAAGTAAATCCAATGCGAACCCATCTGTGGCAAGTGGGTGGCAGAGGAAGCTCAACCCACTGCATTGTGAGGGGGGTTGCAGACACAGTAAACCCTCTGAAAAATCGAACTTGTACAGCATAACACTAACCCATTGCTACATGCTGAGATCCGAAGATGATCGGGCTCTGCTGGCTGTTGATTTGCTGCTACTGCTGTTGATAATGATGGGTTGGGATGGGGAAGGAAATTCAAAGAAAATCCACGAGATTCGGAAAAAAATGGGCATTTCAGAGGTAAAACTAACCGGATTTTGTGACGGAGCATCGAACTGGTAAAAGAGTGCAAAAGGGGAAGAGCGATTGACGGTGGACTGGTATTGGATATAAGATCGAACAAAATGGGGACTGGAGATGCAACTAAGCCAACGTTTTGAGACGCACTTGCAGCGATGGGTATCTTTAAGAGGGAGTCTCGGGAGAATTTCATCGAACACTTCGTGGGCTACATGGTCAAAGAAGGAAAAACTTTCTATTTCCTTCTCTGTTCACAAAGACTATGAGACTCTATGTTCTTTTCTTCTATCCAACCATTTTTTTCCTTTTCTACTAAATAAAAATTCAAGACTAGAGCATTACTCCAAGTAATTATTTTCGATACCTTGGATCAATCGTACGAAAAGACGAAGAGATTGATGTAAGTACTAGAATTTGAGTAGGCTGAATAGAGTGGAGGAAGAATATTTTCTATTAAAATTTTCTATTTTCTATTTTCTTCTCTCTTGAGCAACACGGTAAATTATGAGATTATGTTATTTTCTTTTATCCAACCATTTTTCTCCTTTTCTACTTAATAAAAATTCAAGACTAGAGGCTTGATATTGACATTGTAAGCACTAGTCCAAGTAATTATTTTCGATACCTATGATCGATGGTACAAAAAGATGACTTTGAGTAGGCTGAATAGAGTGGAGGAAGAATAATGGGGTTTTATGCAATTAACAATTACGAAATAAGTTAAAAGGAAAGGTATATATAACAATTTTTGGACCGGCTATTTTACGGAGTGGAATGTTGGGCATTAAAAAAGACACATAAATAACAAATCCATTTGGCAAAAATGTGGACCTTGAGATGGTAGATGTTAGAAAAAACTAGGAAAGATAAAATTTATAATTAAAGGATTAGGAGAAATTAGGCATGGCACCTATTAATGAGAAAATAAGAGAGAGTATGTTTACTTAGGTGGTATGAACATCTCACGCCAATCTCTAGAAGCTCAGAAAGATTAATTTGTATAGAAGGTAAAAGACAAAGATATCGACCTAAATTAACTTGGAATGAAGTGATAAATAATGATTTTTAAAAATTAAATTTGGTAGGAAATATGATTTTATGATAGAAAAGAGTTGGAAAATTAAATCCATGTAATCAATCCGTTTGTCTGGATAAAAAAAAAGGTAAGGATGATAATGGCGATCTCATATATACTTCCACCAATTTAAGATGTATTAATATTCAGTCAAAATGTCTTTCTTTTTTTTTTAAATAAAAATAAAAAACTAAGGTTATTTTGAGTGAATATTAAATGTCACTTCCAGCAATGTCATTTTATTGAATGTCTTTCATACTAGATTTAATATTTACTTCAAAATTTGAGATTTAAGTATAAGCTTCTTTCTGGGCCAAATTTCTATCAAATGCAATTTTCTATATATCACATCTCTCTCTATCAACAAGTATAGCCTAATGATATTTATTTTACCTCCAATGAAGGTTTAAGAATTCAAGTATCCATAGAGGCATAATAAGCCTGTGCATTATTTGTCCGTACAAAAAAAACAAAAAAAAAAAAAAAAAAAAATCATCTTTTCATATTCTTTTTTTTATGAAGTTGATATTTCTATTGTAGGTTCATGGCACACACTAATTAAAGTCCCCTTTTCATTCATTCGTATCCTGGTTGAGCTTGGAGCTCCATGATATCAAATGTCCTCATTCTCAGGTAGTGATTGAAGATGTTTTGGTGATCCTGTTAACAATACAAACAATGAGGTTGGTGTTTTGTCTAAAGCCTCAAATTTTGCTCAATAAAGAACATGGAATATGCACCCCCTTCTTCCACCCTTTAATGTTGATGTAAACAGTCTTTGGCCCAACCGTTAGATTGCTTCGTCTTGACTGGGTCAAAAAAGTAAATAATCTCTACTTACACGTAGGTAAGATTGCGAACATTTGATTTTTAAATGTCACAATAGTTAGAATATCGCTGAACTAACCCTTTTCCAAACATAATAGAAGAAAATTGGTTTATTAAGATTGGCCCAGAATGTCTGAAAGCTCGGGGAGAAGGATGCCAAACTTCTGATCTATATAGACGCATAGATCCATGGATTCATACATTTCGATTGGAAAAGAATCAAGAGAAAAAGAAAGAATCAGAAAAATTAAAAAGCGAATGCTTTTGAGTCACTGTTGGAATTTGCATTACATAAACATGTATAGGAGAAATAGAATCCCATCATTGGAAATTTTATGTAGCAGCATTTCAAATGTGAATTGATGGAGAAATGTTACTTCCTTCAGTAATGAAATCCAGGAAAAATCCCATTCTCACTTGCAAATGGAAGCAATTTGAATTAGTGTTTGTAATATGATTAAAAAAAAAAAATGTGTTTGTAAGTTATTCTCATGCTAAGCTTCAACAAGTTGATTGATTAATTAATCATATTTGGTAGTAAAATGATTCTGATGGTTTTGGTTGGAGATAACTGTTAAGTGACTCTAGGGGGAGAGGGATTGATGGTGGTCTCGAATTGGATATAAGATCGAACAAAATAGGGACTGGAGATCCAATTAAGCCAACGTTTTGAGACGCAGTTGAAGCGATGAATATATTTGAGAGGGAGTCTCAGAAGAATTTCATCGAACACTTCGTGGGGTAGATTGTCAATGAAGGATCGTTTATCACCATCATCGTCCCCTACAACAACGCCTCCATCACCACATCCTTCTTCAACCCAAGCCATCTCCAAATCTTACCAAAAGGATTGAATTCTTGTTCAATTGAAATTGAAGCCATACAAAAGGACCATACTTGGTCCTAATCGTGTAAATGTAATAAATGCAAACATTCTATTTTAATTATTTATAATGAGTTAGATTATACGTAGTATTGTGAAAGTGTTAAAAAAAAAAAAAAAAAAATGAAAAAAGTTTTAATTGCAGTTGCCCAAGCAATTGCTAAATTACAATCGCAGTTATAATTGATTAATTTTGAATGCATTAATTAATTTGAGTTTTAATTTTTATGAAACTCTACTAACATTATTTTTTAGACAAAAATATTCTTTTAAATTATCTAATATTTCTTGTTCTCTTCCTTTTTCCTCTTTTAATGGAGTATGTGTGGTTAGTTATATGATAGGATAATTCATTCACAAGAGATGGATGGATAGATTTGTAAAAAAATAAAAGGAAGAAGGAAAAAAAAAAAAAAGGAGGGATAAAAAAATCCAAAAAGAATATATATATATAAAAAAAAGGTAAAAGAAAAAAAAAATGAATTATATATTTCTTCATTTTTTTTTGTTTTTTCCTATATATATTTATATATATGTTTCTTTTGTTTTTATTTTTTATTTTTACAACTATCCTTGTATAAATAGATTTTTTTTAAAAAAAAAAAGGAAATAAAAGAAAAGGAAATAATTCCTTCACCAAAAATGAAATATATAAGTATATAAAACTAATTTTGTATATATATTTTTTAAGACATAATTTAAAAAGGCATTTTTATCTAAAAAGTAATGTTAGTAGAATTTCATAAAAATAGAAATTCAAAGTAATTAATGCATTTTAAATTAATCAATATTAACTCCAACTGTGAATGGACAGTCTTGCGCGACTACAATTAGCACTCCTCAAAAAGAAAATAATATGAACACAACTGTGCACACGGTGGCACATTTAATTGGTTGAAAAACAATTGTAATTAATGTATCTTTTCTATTATTTGAAATTATAAAACTTCAACAAATTATCCTTTTATATTTCTTCTAGGGTCTCGCTTTACACTCCTATAATATCGAGATAGTGCGTATAACCCCCTATTGTTTGTTTACCTCCCCTATATTTTAAAAATGGTGCGAATTAGTGCATTTTGGGTGTTGACGGCTATTGACCGGTACCAGAGCTATAAAAAGACTAAAATAACCATCTATTTATGACTTAAAAATAATAATAAAATAACAAAAAATAAGAAAAGACTAAAATAGCCCTAAATCAATACTCTATCTCTATTCTCGTTCTTGCCCCTCTCTCTCTCTCTGTCTGCAACTACAAACTACAATCTACAAGAATCAGAAGTTCAAAACACATATATTTCAGTTTATCTATCTGTTTGCAAGAAACAAAGGTTCAAAACCCATATCGGCATATCATTTCAGATTGTTTAAAAAATCAAAACCCATATCTTTCAGTTTTCATTAGGGCTGCAAGTTGGGCTAGTCTAACCCAGCCCAGTCCTAACCCAACCTCAACCTGAATCGGGTTGGGTTGGGTCAACCCAAATTGTACCTAACATGAGATATAGTAAAAAAAACCCAGCCCGAATATTTTTGGGCCGGTCGGGTCGGGTTGACGGGTTGAGTTTTAAAATTTTATTTATATATATATATTTTCAAAAATATATATATTATATAGATATATCTATATATTATTAAAAAACAAAAAAAAAAAAAAATTAGGGCAAATCATTTCAGCCTCCCCAATCGTCCAGTCTCATTCTCAACTCTCTCTCTCTCTCTCTGCAACTTCAAACTACAAAATCTACAAGAATCAAAAGTTCAAAACCCATATATTTCAGATCCATTTGCAAGAATCAAAAGTTTAAAACCCATATATTTCAGATCATTTCAGATTGTTCAAAAAATCAAAACCCATATGTTTCAGTTTCCATCGCCGGCTGTTCTAGTTCGGGTTCGCCGTTCGCAAGCTTTAGCTGCTGTCTCTCAACTCTCAAGCTTGTCCCCCTCTCTCTCAACTCTCAAGCTTGCTCCCCTCTCTCTCTGCAACTGCTAACTTGTATGTATGGGTTTTGTTTTTATTTTTGGAAGTGGCGGCGGCGGCGGTGGATCGGCTGAGGGACGGCCAGAGAAAAGAGAAAGAAGAAAGAGAAAGAAGAGAGAGGAGAGAGAAAAAAAAAATTCGGGGAAGAGAGAGAAAAGAGAAAGAAGAGAGAGAGGAGAGAGAAAAAAAAAAATTAATTTTGGGTTGGGTTCGGGTTGAGCCCAAGACCAACCCAAATTGTCTGGGTTTTGATTAAACCCAACCCGAACATAAATCCGATTTGTGAATTGTGTATTCAAATTTCAAAATTCTTGCGTTGGGGTTGGGTTGGGCTGGGCTAGCCCGTCCAACTTGCAACCCTAGTTTCCAACGCCAGCTGTTCCAGTTTGGGTTCACCGTTCGCAAGCTTCGGTCGCTGTCTCTCAACTCTCAAGCTTGCCCTCTCTCTCTCTCTCCAACTGCATACTACAAAATCTACAAGAATCAGAAGTTTAAAACCCATATACCTATGGGTTTTGTTTTAATTTTTTTAGGGCAAATCATTTCAGCCTCCCCAATTGATTAGCCAGATCCTCCAACATCCATAACTCTAATTCCAGATCCGTGGCGGGATTTGAGAAGTAGACGGATCCCTTCATCTCTAACAAGTTGCAATTTATCAGTCCTCGGTGATAGGAATCTGATTTTGGTTGACATGGCAAGCTTATTCCTGGCCTAAATTCCTCTCTAGCAATGTCCATTGATTGAACAAAAGCCATTTGAAGAGGATTATTATGATTTGTAAGATCGTGAGTGTATGCTAACCAATGCAATATCCCATTCACACTGATGGGATTGAAACCCCATTGCAGGCAAAATGCGGATGGACTGATCAATTCCATCCATTCGAGGCTGCCCGATCACCATCATTGTCGACAGTAATGATGTGGATCTTTTCATGGATAATGCATGGATCACCAATAAAAAGAACCACTTTATATATTTCATTTGAAGAATCATGTACCATGACAAAATTGCCCCACAGAATCTCCCTGTGATTTAAAGTTGTAGGTAACAACTTTTGAAGGCCGGTAATAGGATTATGAACACAAAGCTTTGTTTGTCCAGATATATAAGCTTCAAGAAGTAATAAACCATCAGTAGAGGCAACAATACGGCGATAAACCTGTGGAGTCTTGGTCCTGAAAATCCGAAAGAAGCAAAATGGTGAAGCAATTTTTTGAAGTAATAAACTACAAAAATAAAAATACTATATACAAATATATGTATATATCTATTTACCCTATAAAAATGTATTCTATTTGTATTATTTATATACACTTTTTTGTAATAATAATATATACTTTTCAAATAACTACTAACACCTTTACTAAAAGTCACCTTTTATTATTTATATACAATTAAATTATTAAATTTATTTTAATAAATAAATATGACTTTTCAAATTACTATTAACACCTCTTCTAAAAGTCACCTTTTAACTATACTTTGTATTTTTTATACACACTTTTTTTGTAATAATAATATATATTTTTCAAATAACTACTAACACCTCTTTTAAAAGTCACCATTTCATTATTTATATACAATTAAATCATTTAATTTATTTTAATGAATAAATGTGACTTTTACAAATAACTATTAACACCTATTCTAAAAGTCACCTTTTAATTGCAAACACCTATTTGTCACCATATATCTCACCCTTCTCTATTTCTTTCCAACTCTCTTTAAAAAGAATTTCTTCACAAAAAATTTGTTAGAGGTTTCTTCTTCCACTAATAATTTCAACGGCTTTGAGAGAAGACTCATCTTTTGGTTCATATACATCAAATTACAACTCAAAACCCTTTCCAAATTTTTTTTTTAAAGGTATGTTTTAATTTGAATTGAAGAACAATTTATATATTTTATCTTACTATCTAATCATATATATATATATTGTTTCATACATAATTAGTACATGAAGAGTTATTATATTTTATATATTCTCTTAATAGTTTAGTTTTGGAATTCTTTTATTACGATGTAAAAGAAATATGCATGAATATTAAATTCCCATAAATTCTTTTATTCTTTTATTAGATTGTTATTATTTTATAATATTTTATTTGTACTATTTATATTCTGCTATAACTAAATGTTTTGGTCTAACTACATCGTAATCATGTTTAAATATTAAAAAAAACCCATTCTCTGCGCATATAACATGTTTACTGTTCTTTGTTGCTTTTATGTCTAATTTTGTGTTCCTTTCCTATTTAATTCTTAAGAAATATTATTCTTTTATATACGTTTGCCTAATTCTCTCAAAGGTATTTATGATTACATTATATACTTTGTTTATATTTGGAAGTCTGTTCCATGAAGATTGTTGGAAATATTGATAAATTGAAATGTAAAAAATAAAATAAAAAAAAATACTAAGAAATTGAGAAATTCTCTAGAGTTACATTTAGAATAAAACGACATTTAATTCAACCAGTTTAATATATACTTTATCTGTAATATGTATATTACATTTACATATATATGTGTATATATATATCATCATAAACCAATTTCTATTTACTTATATTGATTTTTTTTAAAAAAACAAAAAAAGCATGGATATGATCTTCAATTGAAAAAATATTATTTCATCTCAATGCATCATATTCTTCAAATAAAAACTCACCTTAATTTCACTTCTTTAATCATTTATATTACTAAAAGTCACAATTTTTTTTAAAAAAGTATCATAAACTAAAACTCTTCTTAATTATGAAATCTTTTTCTTTTTCACTCTTTTTTTTTAAAGTTAAGGAAAAACGTGATTGATTAAATTTAAAATTCTATCGTGCATCAAGCAGTGTAAAAGTAAGACGTGTACATATAATTATTTAATTTTTATTGCATGTTTTTAAATCTATTTATAAAAAAATATAATGTGTTATATGTAGTATTTATAAACATACTGTTATATTCTAATACATCATATGATTTGATATAATAAATTTCTTGTACAATTGATTCAATATATATTTTCATTGCTTTCCAAAATAAAATTATATTCTTTAATTGTTCGGCTATAAATACCACAACAATATTAGGGTTTGCATAAGGTTTTAGATAAAGAGACTTTGAAGATGATGAAAAGTCTTTTTTATCTTTAAGATTAATAGTCAAATAGTTATTCGGATGATGAAAGATAACTTAAAGTTTTGAATTTATTTTGCTCTAAATTTATAAATACATGAACCAAATTAATTTAGCACTTTTATCTACAAGTTACTTTAATTTCATTTTAGATTTTATTTCTCTATTTAATTTTCAAATTATTTTTACATATCATCTAAGCTATTTTACTATCTCAAAGTATTGCTAAGCTTAATCACGTGCATTGCACGTGGTTCTATCTAGTATATATATATGTGTATATATATGGTGAGGGGTAATAAAGAAATATAAAAAGGCAATTTTGGAAATAAAGGGTTTAAAATGGTCATGTGCACGACACATGACCAACTCACAGGAATTTGTACCGGAATTCTCACCGGAAGTGCTTAATTGCACATTTTTATATTTAAATGGATTTATATAAACAAATCTAACAAAAAGGGTGTAATTCGCACAAATTAAAAACCACATGATTGTTTTTCAGACTTTCCCCTTTCTTCTATACATAAATATATTTATATATATACTAATAAAAAATTATTCTTTTATATTTGGTGATGAATGTTTTCTAATTTATATAATTTATATTTTTATATATTTATTAATTGTTTATAATTTTACAAAAAAAATAGGCAAAACAGTAGGTGCAGAATAGCTTAGGGAGGAAAAATTATATTGATGTCGGTCCTCGCCGATTATGAGCTTAGAACTTCTATTTATTAAGCAGGAATAAAGTGTCGGCGGCATTCACCAATTAATGGGGGTAGAGAAGACATGGTCGTCATTGAAGTTCACCGACTATGACCAGAAAAAAGCTAGAATCAAAGTTCACAACTCATTGTAGAGATTGAAAGTGAGGTCTGGACGGCATCGTCGCAGGAGATTACCTGAGAATGTAATTTCCGGCGTGGCACGCACGGTGGAGGCATGCGACTCGTATGTGGGTACGTCCGTAAATGAATCCCTGAAAGATTTGATCTTGAGAGGTGGAAATGGAGTAGGGATTGCTCTGATCAATTCGCCAGCGATGTTCATAGCTCATTACATTAAGCGCCACACACTTATACACATAGAAGGACGTTGATGCACAGAACGGGATGGATACAGACCTAAGAAAGAATGAGACGAAAAACGAGAGTTAATAATTTTGGAAATTTTGGGTCATAGAGGTTCAAAGGAGTTAGGGCTGAGGAGACAAGTTAGCTATCATCTTTTAAGGTTTTTGTTTTTGGTATTTTTATTTTTGTCAAATATTATAATTTTGCATGTCGTTGAACGTTTCTTGAATAGTTGTCAAAAATTAATTGTCAAAAATCAAAACACCAATTTAGTATTTTTATATACTTTCGCTCAATAGCCATGTAAGGATGAACAATAAATTATATATATATACAGAAAGGTTAAAATCACAAAACTCCCTCTACTTTTAAAATCATTCATAAAATCCCATTAAAATTTTAAAACTTCCTAGACTAACAAAACTTATCAAGTTACTCCCGGCACACCCGTTAAGTGGGTTTTGAAATGTCAAATTTTCGAGCAGCTAGCTCAGTGAAATCAGAATTCAAAAGCCAAAAGTTGGGGTACATGGGGCTTTTAAGTTGGATATGGCCAAGGCCTACGTATTGTATGGAATTGTGTTACCTCTACATCTAGCATTGGGTAGACCTCATACAATAACTGTCCTAGCTCTACCGTATCTTTTGTTTCATTTCTTCTGGAACAATCACAAACACTTTTTTGATTATGGATCGACTACCAGAAATTCAATGCGTAATTTCAGCATTCAATGTGTATTCGTTAAGTGGGTTTTGAAATGTTAAATTTGACTTTGCTATTTAATATTAGGATAAATTGCACTGACACCCCTTGAAGTTTCAGTCAATCACTCAAATGTTGGTCAACAGGTTTTTTTGACAATAACACCCTTGAGGTTTCAAAAAATTTCATTGACACCCCTCTCAAATGAAATGTCATAAATACCCCTAAACTTGTAATTCAAATTTATATAATAATAAATAAATAAAAAATCAACCCCATGAGATGACCAAACTAGCCATCCCTGAGAAATTGACAATACATTTTAACCTAAAATGAACTAACCTAATTGCAGACAACCATAAAACAGTAGCCACCACCCCACCATCACCAATATAAACCCCACCACTACCACGACCACCACAACCCACCGCCGCCACAACCCCCACCATTGCCATCACAATCCACCAGTACTATAACCCCACCATCACCATCACAACCCACCACAGCCATAACCCAACCATAGCTACCACAACCTACCGCCACCACCCCCTACCATCGCCACCACAACCCCCACCATCGCCATCACAACCCTCTGCCACAACCCCCATCATCGCCACCACCCCCTAACTACCTAAGCCCCCATCCTTTGCGTGATTTAACCCACAACACAACCACTGATCCACCCAAACTGTTCACCAACCGGTCATTCTATACCCACCACCTTTCCACCGTCACCACAATATGAGCAAAAAAAAAAAAATCAATCTCAGAATTCTCAAAAGTTCAAATCGAAGAAGAAAAGAATCAGATTAAGGGAAAAGATGGCAAATAGTTGGAACTGCAAAGGCGTCAAAAGATCCTGTGATGGTGGACGTGGTGGAGGTTGACTGGGCGAGGGTTGGGGGTGGCATCGCCGCCGAGGCCATTGCACTAGAGGTCGTCGTCTCAATCGCCAGTGTTGCAGGAGAAGCGGTCGTTAGAGTAGGTGCAACCGGTGCGGGCACAAATGCAGCCCGACCAGTGCTCGGATAGAGCCGTGTGTCACGGGCTTAGAGTTTCAGCACCACTCAAGCTACTCCCGTGCGGCACCAAGACATTGCTTCTTCTCGCGCAAGTACTTGGTCAGCCTAACTCCCGTGTCCACCTTAGCCAACACACTCTCCTCGTGCGCTTACTAGTGTTGTAGTGGTCCTCGCCCTCTCCTCACTTGGCTTGCACACTCACACACACTAGGGCACTTAAGTTGGAAAGGAAAGAACACTTCTATTACTTCAAAGAATGTTTTGTACAAGGCTAGCTCTCAAACTCTCTACAAGGCTCTCAAGACTCACTCCAGGACTTGATGGCTACAAAATGAAGTCCTACTCCTATTTATAGGCATCTATCCCTATAGAGTCTTGAAAAAAGTCAAAGACACCTCCAATGGAGTCTTGATAAATTAACCGTTTCTCTAGAATAGGAGGATGACTACTTCGCTAATGTTAAGCCTATATTACATCATGTTACTATACAATTCGACACTAGAGAGTTGAGAAATATGATACCTATCCATAGGATCTAGAGACAGACTTTAATATAGTTTAAAAATCACAGATCGGACAGATTAGCAAAGAATTTGCCGAGAAAGCACGACGAAAAATCTTTATTTCGATCGGTGCAATACACATATACATCATACACAATCAAATTCTTATGTCCTCAAAATTCAAATATATATATATATATATATATATATATATATATATATATAATATTTAATTCTTTTATTCTGATTTCTAAAACGAAAACCCTAAGCCTTAGCCATGGCTCTGGTACCAATTCTCTAGAGACATGAGTTTCTCTTTCTAAAAATATAAGTGAGAGAGGGAGAGGGGGAGGGGGAGGGGGAGAGGGACAGAACGGATAAGATTAAGCGTGAAAAAAGGGGAGAGGAGAGAGAATTAGGATTCATTTGGGTTTAACCCGAATAATTATCAAATTATTTATTTTTAATTATTTTAAATGTAAGTATACTTGTCAGTTTAGCATTGCACCATATACGTGGTGAGTATAAGTTTTCCACTCACCAGCGTATAGACAAGTATTGTCCATAAACAAATACGAAATAAGTTAAAAGGAAAGGTATATGTAACAATTTTTGGATCGGCTATTATACGGAGCGGAATGTTGGGCGTTAAAAAAGACACATGAACAACAAATCCATTTGGCAAAAATGTGGACGTTAAGATAGATGTTAGGAAAAACTAGGAAAGATAAAATTAATAATTAAAGGATTAGGGGAAATTAAGCGTGTCACCTATTAATGAGAAAATAAGAGAGAGTATGTCAACTTAGGTGGTATGAACATCTCACGCCAATCTCTAGATGCTCAGGAAGATTAATTTGTATAGAAGGTAAAAGACAAATATGTCGACCTAAACTAACTTGGAATGAAATGATATATAATGATTTTTAAAAATTAAATTTGGTAGGAAATATGACTTTATGATAGAAAAGAGTTGGAAAATTAAATCCATGTGATCAATCCGCTTGTATGAAAAAAAAAAAAAAAAAAAATTGGTAAGGATGATAATGACGACCATGTATACATCCACCAATCTAAGATGTATTAATATTCAATCAAAATGTCTTTTTTTAAAAATAAAAATAAAAATAAAAAATTAAGGTTATTTTGAGTGAATATTAAATGTCACTTCCAGCAATGTCATTTTATTGAATGTATCTTTCATACTTAGATTAATATTTACTTAAAAATTTAAGATTTAAGATTTAAGTATAAGCTTCTTTCTAGGCCAAATTTCTATCAAATGCATTTTTCTATACATCACATCTCTCTCTACCAATGAAGGTTTAAGAATTCAAGTATCCATAGAGGCATAGTAAGCCTGTGCATTATTTGTCCAGGCAAAAATAATAATAATAATAATAATAATAATAATAATAATACAAAATAAATAATACATCTCCTTCTGGTAAATGTGGCATCTTATCATAAACAATGAGGTTGGTGTTTTGTCTCAAGGCTCAAATTTTGGTCAATAAAGAATATGGAATATGCACCCCCTTCTTCCACCCTTTAATGTTGATGTAAACAGTCTTTGGCCCAACCGTTAGGTTGCTTCCTCGTGACTAGGTCAAAATTAAAAATAACCTCTTCTTACGTGGAGATAAGAGTGTACATCTGACTTTTAGATGTCACAATAACTAGAATATCATGGACTGAACTAACCCTTTTTCAAACATAAGAGAAGAAAAATGGTTTATTAAGATTGGCCCAGAATGTGTGAAAGCTCTGCGAGAAGGATGCCGAGCCTCTGATCGACCTGGACATATAAAAATTCTCAGCGCACTCAATGAGTGGTTTCTAAGAAGTGCTTGGCATGCAGAAAGCAAATAGAGCTTTTGCACATTTTTGTTAATCCATGAACATGATCTATATAGATGCATAGATTCATGGATTCATACATTTCAATTGGAAAAGAATCAAGAGAAAAAGAACGAATCGCAAAAATTACAAAGCTAACGTTTTTGAGTCACTGTTGGAATTTGCATAGCATAAACATGTATCGAGAAATAGTGAATCCCATCATTGGAAATTTTATGTAGCAGCATTTCAAATGTGAATTAATGGAGAAATGTTACTTCCTTCTGTAATGAACTCCAGGAAAAATCCCATTCTCACTCGCAAATGGAAGCAATTTGAATTAGTGTTTGTAAGTTATTCTCATGCTAAGCTTCAACAAGTTGATTGATTAATTAATCATCTTTGGTAGTAATATGATTCTGATGGTTTGGTTGGAGATAACTGTCAAGTGACTCAAGAAGTAGCACATCAGACTAACATCTATATTTTATATCTTTGGGCAAGTTTGTTTGTAACTCTTTGACTTATGGCTGTAAGGTAAACCTTGGATTTGTGTAACTATCCGCAAACCATACATTTCTTTTAAATCCGAATATTTTTGAGCCTTATGAGAGTTGAACTCAGAATGTCCGAGTTTTTTACGGCTTGCGTACCCCTTAACCACTCGGCCAGCTGTGCGGGTTCTCTTCGGGTAAGTTGACCTGACTGCAGTGGGTACTCTTTGCTGATCATATCAGAAGTATCACCTTTGTCTCTGGTTTCCGATGAAACTAAATATAGCACATTGAGCTTTCCTGTTCCTTTCTACCTGCTCATTGCCATCAAAATTGCTTGTACTATATTGCTAAACTCTAATTTATGAGGATTCAATGTTGTTTTGGGGATGAGTAAAAGGGTATAGGAGAGAAAACAAAAGAAGGGAGGAGAAGGAAGAAGTTGGTTAGTTTACTCTGATTAGTTAAGAAGAGAGAGTTCTCTCTATATTAACCATACGATTGAGGCCTAATTTCATATTCCTAAATCTCGAGATCCTTCTCAATCTAGTGGCCAACAAATAGAGCTCATAATTCTTGTCAAGAGAACTTCTTCTTAACAATATTGCTTTAGAATTAAAAAAGAGAAACAAAAATGATTTTGAAGTTCTTTGTTTTTCCCTTCTCTTTTTTTGTAAGAGAAAAACAAAGAAGATTGAGAAAGTTTTTGTTTCCTTTCATCTGAGAGGTAGTGGGGATATTTTTAAAACCTTTTCTTTCATTTCCTCATTTCTCTTCTACGAAACACAAAAATGCAACGTCAAATGTTCGTTGTGTGAATTTTCCTTTTAGTTTCCATGCGGAATTTCAATCTGGCAAATAGGTAAAGAAAGTTGTATGCCCTGTTGTGAGAGAGAATAAAAAAGATCTCACCATTAGGGAACCTGGGTAGGGTCAAATGTACACAGCCTCAACTCCAGCCATTGTGACTTGTGACGTTTGGGGAGGGTCAAATATTGTGAGGGAGAATATTTTGACAAACTTTCGGGGATTCTCTTTCCAGTTCTCTCCACAAACACAACTTTGTGAAGATGCAAAAGCATGACACTAAATAATCTATGCTTCTTTCCACAAACAAAGAACAAAGCCGTCGATAATACTTAGGTCCTCACCATTGAGTATGTATTGTATCTGACCACTGATGTGGCTCAATCAAGTAGGGACACGGTCTTGTTGACAACACAAACTTGGGCATCAAATCTCATATGATTTGCTATATCCTATGCTTTCTCATACTCAGGCATCATAACTTACAAAATATTCATATAATTCTGGTATGTGGTGTAGAACTGTAAAAATGCATGTTGTTGAAAATATAACGCAAAGGGAATAAATAAGTAACAAAAAATTTCCTGCAACAATATTAATACGAATGTGACAAAGATATCTCAATCGATTGAAGGGGAGAACTAGATCAAACACTTCATAAAAAATGAATCAACTGAATAAATAGACCATATAAACAAAGAGAGGATGGAAGATAATTAATTACTACGGAAGTGGAGGAACTGAAGTAGGCCACCATGGGAGCACAAATGGGAAGACCAGATGGTGAAGAAATTAGGAGGCAGGGGAATGTGCAACTTTACAGACTCTTTTAAATTTTTTGCTCCTCCACATGTTGCAGTCCGTAATGTGACCCGGTGACCTGAGATATAGAATATCTGAGTCACTCAAGTGAAAAGCTACTACTGTCAAAGGGGGAACAAGTGAATGTACTTTTAGCCGAAGCTTGTGCACCACCAACCATTCAACCCTATCACTACTGTAGTTGTCATTGAGTTCCCAAATGGTGAGAGTGTAACCCCCAAATTGGGAAAACATGAGATGCCCATTGCACTCTCCTAGGGCATGTTTACAGATTCTGGGATGATAATCCTTTGGCATGTCTATGGTACGAAGAAAATGCTCTTGAATCTCCAATAAAACATTCCTTTGTAATACACTGCACAATTCGAACCAAAAAAAGGCTCGTGGGGGCAAGATATAAGAGACTCTGTCCATGTTCCTGTCTCTGACGAAAATATCTCCAAATTGAGAGTGTTCTGATGCAGTACTATTATTTCATCCCCACTACATATTCTCACCACCCTGAAGCTAATTTTTTTTTTTAAATCTTCAACATCAATTCTAGTAGTAAATCCAAGGCGAATATGTTTTTCGAAAGTAGGTGTTGGAGGAAGCTCAACCCACTGCATTGTGAAGGGGTTGCATACATAGTTAGTAAACCCACTTAAAAACAAAACAGGTAGAGCATAACACTAACCCATTGCTCGACGCTAAGAGGCGATAGTGATGAGGCTCTGCTGGCCTTTGATCTTCTGCTGATCATAATGACGGGTTGGAATGGGGATGGAAATTGAAAGAAAATCCATGAGATTCGGGAAAAAAAATGGGCATTTGGGATGTAAAATTGATTCCCATTTTGTTAGGAGTAATACTAACTGGATGTTGTGGAGCCTGCGAACTTGTAAAATTGCGCAAAAGGAGGAGACACATTGATGGTGATCTGATATTGGACAAAATGGGGACTGGAAATCCAGTTAAGCCAAAGTTTTGAGACGCACTTGCAGAGATGGGTTACTTTTAAGAGGAGTTTCTGGAGAATTTCATGGGTAGATAATCAAAGAAACATGATCTAACAATGATGGATGATGATGAAGAAATAGAACAAGATGATAACGCTGCTAAAGGTTGAGAACCATTTAGCATTTAGCGACGTCTTCATCTCCACATCCTTCTTCACACGTCGACGCTATTGATTTGCTAAGTATTAATGTAAAAAGAACAAATCTCACCCAAAATAAAATAAAATAACCTGGAATTGATTCAATTGAAACTGAAGTAAAACAGAGGAAATAGTGGGTAAAAATATCAATAATATAAATTTTCTTTTTTCACACCATAGTACTCTTAATCAACAATTACACTCGTCTAAAACACTGTGGGCGGATTAAGGATCCATGTGCTCTTTATATTAAGTGGTTTGTGTGTATATATATTTAACCATATTTGAGTGTGTGTTTATAGATTCATCAATACACATACATATATATTTACCTATCTCTATATTCACATTGTGCATAATCCATGTTTCTTCATCCAACAGTACGCAATTTAATCCCATATATTCGACATCCATTGCCTAATTATCTTCAAACTAGTACATATAAGAAAATAAATATAAGTATGTTAGTTCCATCACAAAAGGTACAAGGTAAAACAGTTTGCAGATTCTTAAGATGCATATTATATTTTATATATAAATGGAGAGATAAAGGAATTACTATATGGAGATTTCTTATAAATATGTACAACTGAATATGGAGGCAATGCATGATTGACTTGCCTGATCAGGTGCTCCTACTTGATACCTTCCTCCTTCAAGCCTCTCTCTCCAAGACTCCCGCAGGATATTTTGTTTCTTGTAAAAACATATAGAATGATTAACTGTATAAAAACACGGGTAGCTGATTAGAACATGAGGATATTGGGGGGAATGCAGGAACTTGGGGAAACTGACGCTGAAAATGATTCCAACACTTATCATGAGTTTGGTAGGGATTTGGGGCTACAACCTTGTTTGTTTACAGGGTCAGCGTTTATCTCACTTATTTAATATTAATAACATTTTCTAAAATCTTATATATATATATATATATATATATATGTGTGTGTGTGTGTGTGTGTGTGTGTGTGTATGTATATGTATGATTATGTATATAGACACACACACACATATGAATTTAAAATTTGTCACATTTATGGTCTCACTATGCCGGGACGGTGCAACTGGGTAAGTGCCAACACCAAAAGCCTCACTGGAGGTCGGAAGGCCACTAGAAAGTTGAGCTCACAATCAAATTTATAGACACAGTTCAAGTAACAAAAGGGGTTGCTGCCATGAATGCAGGAACTTACAACACAGAACCGGGCATCAAATATCAGTTGATTTGATATATCATCTGCTTTATCATAGTCTTAGGCATCCAAACTAGCATAGTATTCATATAATTCTGGTATGTGGTATAGCTCTAATAAAGCAAAGTACATTATCTGTGTAAATAATTTTTTTTTTTTTTGATAAGTCTGTGTAAATAAAATTTTAATTCTGGTATGTGGTATAGAACTGTAATAAAGGTGTTACCCAAAATATAATGCAAAGTAGAATAAATAAGTAAATAGAATTTTCATCAGAGTGATTGCAACAATATTGATTGGGAGAACTAAATCAAACACTTGTTAAAAAATAGACCATATAAACAATGAGAGGATGGAAGATAATTACTACGGAAGTGCAGGAACTGAAGTAGGCCACCCTGGGAGCACAAATGGGGAGACCAAATGGTGCAGAAAGTTGGAGGCACGGGAATGTGCAATTCTACAGCTTGTTTCAAATTTGCTCCTCCGCATGTTACAGTCCATAATGCAACCCGGTGACCAGAGACATAGAATATCTCTGTCAAAGGGGTGAAAAGCTACTACTGTCAAAGGGGAAAGAAGCGATTGTACTTTTAGCTGAAGCTTGTGCACCACCGACCATTCAACACTATCACTACTGTAGTTGTCATTGAGTTCCCAAATGGTGAGAGTGTAACCCCCAAATTGAGCAAACATGAGATGCCCGTTACACACTCCTTGGGCATGTTTACAGTTTCTTGCATGATAACCCTTTGGCATGTCTATGGGACGATGTGGATGGCTGGGGTTGTATGGATCAAAACCGAAGAAAATGCTCTTGAATCTCCAATATAACATTCCTTTGTAATCCACTGCACAAAATGAACCAAAAAAGGGCTCGTGGGGGCAAGATATAAGGGACTCTGTCCATGTTCCTGTCTCTGATGAAAATATCTCCAAATTGAGAGTGTTCCGATGCACTAATACTAATTTATCCCCACTACAGATTCTCACCACCCTGAAACTACTTTTTTTGAAATCTTCAACATCAATTCGAGTAGTAAATCCAAAGTGAATATGTTTTTGGAAAGTGGGTGGTGGAGGAAGCTCAACCCACTGCATTGTGAGGGGGTTGCATACATAGTAAACCCTATGAGAAGTCACACTTGGAGAGCATAACACTAACCCATTGTTAGACGCTAAGAGGCGAAGGTGATCACCGAGCCCTCCTGCTGGCTGTTGCTGTTGATCATCTGCTGTTGCTGCTGCAACTGCTGTTGATGATGATACTAATGGGTTGGGATGGGGAAGGAAATTCAAAGAAAATCCACGAGATTGGGAAAAAATGGGCATTTCAGATGTAAAACTGATTCCAATTTCGTTAGGGTTAGGTTTAAGGTTAGGGTTAAAATCAACTGAATTTGGTGAATGAGCATCGACCTGGTAAAAGAGTGCCAAAGGGGGAGAGGGATTGATGGTGGTCTCGAATTGGATATAAGATCGAACAAAATAGGGACTGGAGATCCAATTAAGCCAACGTTTTGAGACGCACTTGCAGCGATGAATATCTTTGAGAGGGAGTCTCTGAAGAATTTCATCGAACACTTCTCGTGGGGCAGATTGTCAATGAAGGAAGATGATGGGAAGAGTTGATGGCCAATCTTGGATCGTTTATCTCCATCATCGTCCACCACAACAACGCCTCCATCACTACATCCTTCTTCAACCCACGCCATCTCCAAATTAATCTCACCAACGGTTGAATTCTCGTTCACTTAAGATTGAAGCCCATAAAAAATAAATAAATAAAAAACAACAACAACACTGAGCTGTCCCAGACAAAAGTCTTAAGTTACAAAGTGGGTCACGTCCCACTAAAAATCCAAACGACCTCCTAGGAGAACAGAAAAGAAATTAGATACTCAAAATGCCCCCAGTGTCTTGGATTATATTTTATTAAATTCTGAAAAATAAAATTATACTAATTTAATGACATATTATTTTTCCTTAAATTTGTATAAATTTATTTTTAAAAAATTTTTAAAATAAAAATATTAAGTAAGTAATTTTAAAATAATTTATAATGAATATTTTGCTTAAAAAGAAGTGTTTTTTTATTTAAATAATTTATTAATTTTTTATAAATATATTATATGAAAAATAAGGTATTTTTTATAGTAAATTTTTTTTAAATGAATATAATAAGTTTTATTATAAATAGTAAAAATTTAGTAATAAGTTAATTATTTTAGAAAATAGTAGTTACAATTTTTTTATTTTTATGATAAATTAATACTAATAATAAAATGAAGATAAATTATATAATTAATGTTTAGATAAGAGAAAAAAAAAATTCTTTATAGTAACAGTTTTTTCTCTCCTTATTCTTTTTATTTTTCTTCTACTTATTTAAATAAATTCATAAATCGTTTTAAAATGAAAATACCCATAGAAGACATTGTTATTGTATTTAAGGAAAATATTATTAATTAAAATTTTGATTTTTATATTGGTCAAAATATTTATTTTTTTACTGTGCCCTAAAATCATGGCTCCACCCTTGCCTCCTGTGCATGGATTTGTTGTTTTCGTTGCAGACGGAGGTCCTTATGATGGCGGCTCGCGCGGCGTTTTCTCAGTCTCCTTCGTTTGGCTGTCGTACACCCCAACGTCATCCTAAATTATCGACTATCGTGCGTGGGAAAGACTTGAGAGTTAAAGGTTTTACTACTAAATTGGGCCCCACAATTTGTATATTCGGATAAGGATGAGGCAATGGGGATGTCACATGGGCCTGATTCGTTAGGCTACTATTTAAGCCCAATCTTGATGCCTCCAATTAAGCTTGTTCTTAGTAAGGGTAGCAAATTACGATACAATATGAAAACACTAACACAAGTTAAAAAGATTTGGGTTTGACATAAATTGATTTGGGTCATAAAAAGGTCGACACGATTAACCTGTTTGCTTAATCTTGTTGGGTTAGGATTGAGGGGTTCAACCCATATAATACGTTTATGATTCATTTAACTCAGCATGTTATAATCGTGAATATGACCTATGTAATATGTTATTTGTTTAAACCCAATTACTATGGATAGTTAAGTCATTTCAACATAAACCTTATCTATGTCTTGTGATTTTCTTTTTATTTTGAATATATGGGTTAATTATGACAATTTTTTTCTATTATTTAGTATTTGATTAAATATTAAATGTCTCATTTTGATAAACAGGTCATTAAACGGATTAACACGTTTATCTATTTAATAAACAGATTTGGTTAGTGTTGAAAATTCTTGACACGATTATTAAATGGGTTGGGTTTAGGTTTACCTATTTAGTATAATACCATTATATTGACACGACACGAATACGACCCACAAATACGAATTGCCACCCCAGCTCTGTGTACGATGGGTTTGTCAAAAACTAATAGAGTCTAATAGTACCTTTTCCCCTTCTATAGCAGAAGTTCAAAAATCCATGTTTGTTTGAGGACAAAATAGGTATGTGAGTATATTTCTTATCAATATAAAAATAAAATAAAACAAAATAATATTAATATTAATACAAGCAGGGACGGATATATTCTTGGCTTAGTGGGGAAAATTGCCCCCCCCCTTTTTTTTTTTTTTTTTTTTTTTTCTTGCTATATATTATTAATTTTTCATTTTTTATAATATATACCCCTAAAATTTTAAAATTGCCCCACTCAAATTGTAGAAAAATTCTACTGTTGTCTTCACAATAATTTTTCTATGGTTGTTGTTAAAGATCGCCTCCACTCACATAGTTTTTTGGATCCATCCCTAAATACAAGCCCTGTCCGGTATTCAGAACAACCGTCCTGTGTGACAAATGACAGTGGCATTACAACAATCTAATAACAGAAAATCTCAAGCCAATGAAGTGAAATGTACCACAATAGGGATCATGCAAGTAGAATAACTTGCTGGTATATTAATAGTGCTAGTGCTTCATTTGGGATTGCTTTTAGAAAGTTAAAAACACTTTTAATAGTCGAGCTATTATAAAATTGTTGTCAGTAAAACGCAGTTATGCGTTTAGTGACACATTAAAAAAGGATCTCGCCATTAGTTTCCGTGCGGAATCCCAATCTGGCAAATAGGCAAAGAAAGTTGTATGCCCTTTGCGGGAAAGAATAAAAAAGGATCTCGCCATTAGGAACCTGGGTAGGGTCAGATGTACCTGGCAATAAATGGAAAGGTTCATGAATATGTATCCAGAAATAATAAATCCCATCACTGGAAAAAATGGGAAGACCAGATGGTGCAGAAAGTAGGAGGCAGGGGAATGTGCAACTTTACAGACTCTTTCAAAATTTTTTGCTCCTCCGCATGTTCCAGTCCATAATGTGACCCAGTGACCAGAGATACAGAATCTCTGTCGCTAGGGTGAAAGCTACTACGTGGAGACACATTGATGGTGGTCTGATATTGGACAAAATGGGGACTGGATATCCAGCCAAAGTTTTGAGACGCACTTGCAGAGATGGGTTACTTCTAAGAGGAGTCTCCGGAGAATTTCATCGAACAGTTCATGGGGTAGATAATCAAAGAAACATGATCTAACATTGATGGATGATGATGAAGAAATAGAAGAAGAAGATGATGATGCTACTAAAGGTTGAGAGCCAATTAGCGACGGCTTCATCTACACATCCTTCTTGACCCCTCGACGCCATTGATTTGCAAAGTATTAATGTAAAACTAACAAATCTCACCCAAAATAAAATAAAATAACCTGGAATTGATTTAATTGAAACTGAAGTAAAATAGAGGAAATAGTCGGGAAAATTATCGATAATATAAATTTAATTTTTTCACACCATAGTACTCTTATCAATTTCAGTAACACTGGATATTAGTAGCCTTCCCCTATATATTTTCAATTTGAAAAGGGAATAAATTGAAGAATGAGATGTTTAACTTCCTTCATTTCTTGCCAATTAAAAACATCAACAGTGTGATGAAAAAACAGTAAATAGCACATAATAGTGGTTGGAAATGAAATAATTGAAGCTCATTCATTACTTACTCTTCTGATCATGCAAATCTCAAAGCTATATATTATACTTGACAATATGGAAGGTTTTGAAGATACGTGGGAACAATACCTTAGGTATACAACTGATTATGCATATCAGAGCCAGCACATAATACAGTCACTGCTACTATGACATGCGATTCTCTACAGCCATAATTTTACTACAAGAATCCTCATATGGTGACAGCTTTACTAAAAATGCTAAACGTAAACACCATACCGTCAATTATCAAGAGAAACTATCATCCACTGCAAGCTAAATTTGCAACCAGCTCCTCAAGAAATTCTTCTTGCCCGATGTTTTCAACCCACCTTGCTTTGATTCTGACTTTCTCAATGCTCTGTGTCAAGTTCATAGCAATTGCAGGAGTCACACGGTTTGCGAAAAATGCTTCTATCTCATCTGCCTTTTCATGGCTGCAAAACTAAAAGAAAAAAGACCAGAAGTGAGACAGGTTTAGTTTCTGCAGTCAAATTCCCAAATACAAAGAATACCAGTGGTGGAGAAAGAATTGGATTCTTGTCAATCAGCCACATGAAGTTGGGAGAAGAAGATTAGAGAAAGATCTAATCTTTGATATTATTTTGCACTAAGTGACTGCTCTTGGACTCAAGACCTCCTCATGCTTGTTACCATTACAACAAACAATGTCCTATACAAGAAGTTAATTGGATCGAACTGGATAAATGGAAATTACGGTCTACAGAAGCATCACATGTGGAACTGTAATTGTGTAGAATCAGTTACATACTGGTGTGATAATGTCTCTGACAAAACGGGTGAGTAGCATCCCGGCACCATATTTGTTTAGGATTAGGTCCCAGTTCTCCTGCATTAATTACCGAACATATATAATCATGAAACATGATATTCAAAGATAAGCCAACATAAGCAGAAATAAGCAGAAACGGAAAAGGAATATTGTAAATAAAGTAACAATATGAACAAGCAACACAACTTCTTGAGTGCTTGGAAGAAGTCCTCACTCATATCCTACTTTGGTACTCACTGAATTTGCTTTAACTGAATCGAACATCTAAGGTTCAGTTATGGTCCCTCAATGTGTATGTTATAGTTGCCCAGGTTGTTCACAACCAAAATTTTCAGATAATTCTAACATGACTATACTTGCTTGCTTTCCTACATTGACAATAATGATCCTTTGCCTAAAGACTAATTAATTCAAAAGCACAAAATCACCGCAATGATAGAGACTCAGAAGTATTATTCACTTGTGATCTTGAATTTGCAGCCCATCATACCTTAAACCATCTCCATGCTGTTTCACGGCCTTCTAAGCTTAGCCCTCCTAGTAGATAAACTACATCTTGTTCACGAACCTGACAAGGAACAGAGATGAACAAGGTAACAGGAATAGTGGTGAGAAATTTATGGTTGATAGTAACAGTAGAGTCCTTAGCAAAATTAAATACCTGATCAGACAGCATAAAATTTAGAACCTCTAAAACTATCTCTGGGTCTGGACACGATCCCATAGAGCCTGTAGAATGTCAAAACATAAAACTTAATAGCACATGAACTTTACAACACAAAGTAAACAAGTGAAAAGGAGGTGCTAAACACTGCATTCCAGTTCAAATATAGTTGAATATTACGCAAAATCTGGGTCTTTTCATGCACCGCATCAGCTTCTCTATATAATTTTAGTAGCGATTCAAACCCTTTCCTATTGATGGTGCTAGTATGCCTCATTACTGCAATGTAAGCAGCCTGTTGAACATTTAAACTTCATCATATAATCAACATTAGGAAAGGCCCATAGAAATAAAGACAATGACCAGGCAGAGTGGTTCTATCTTACCCTTCTGCAATCAACTGGAAGACACGAAGTGTTTCTATCACTTAAGTATGTTTGAAAGCGCTTCAATGCTTCTTCATGAGTTTTATCATGGTCAAAAGTGGCCAAGGCCATTAAAACTGCCTCCCTCAACAATGCATTCAAATGATTCTCTCCAGATACTGGGTCCCAACCTAATCTTCTGCACATAATCACAAGCAAATGAATTGATTTCATTAATTTATTTATATTGCCTTTTTGTGAAGCCCCCGATGGTGTGTAGTTACAAAGGACACTTCCATTCAACATGAAGATCAAGTTTGATGAATTAATTTTTTCTTTTTCTTCATTTTTTTTTTTTACCTTGGCAAGAAACACACTCACACACACCCATGGATCAATTTTTTTCAAGAAAATATGATAGAGGCAGTAATTTTGATGAACCTAAAAGACCATTACCCAGTGTCTATCCCACCTATGCAAGGTTCTAAGAGGAGAAGACCGGAGACAACCTAATCTTTAGCAGTGTTTTGCAGAAAAGTGGCTTCTCTCAGATTTAAATCCACATCCTCAAGCTTATCACACTTTTTGAGCAACCTACAAATCAAAACTATCTAAATGCATGCACCTAAACTTCAACACACGCACTTGGGCAAGCAGACTAGTTGCTCTTTTTTTCTCGGAAGTAAGCTAACACGAGAAACGGATTTTAACGAGTCTCCTGTAACCTTATGTAGGAATGGACAAGGCTAGGAAATATTGAGCAGGTATAATAGATGTTTCTTACTCAGCACAGAGAAGGAGGATATTGATGAATAATTGTTTCATATGATGCACTGAACGCGGAATAGCATCACTTGAGATCTTTGCAATACTACAACATATCTGTCAGATAAATCAAGTAAAAGGTCATGATAACACAATATCATTAATTATGTAAACCATTTTACAAAAATATAAGAATATCTCTCACATCAACAAGTCTTGATAACACAATATCATCAAGCTCCTTCCTGTATACGTCCATCAAGGAGAGCAAAGATGTTAATGATACTTCGCCTGCCTCGCAAAGAGCATATGTATCATCCAAGATGCCTGGCAATGAGATTAAAGGAGTTGCATGTTGTTAAATTTTCTTTTATCACAATAAGAATTGAGAGGAACAAGAAAAGGAAAGAATTAGGAACAAAGACGAGAATATAGGTAGATGTTCAAATTAGTTTCTACTTCCTCATCCAATGACAATATCTTTCACTCTAAGATTACAAAGCATAAAGTCTTTCCCAATGAGCTGGAAATTTAGGATTAAACACAATTTTGAATTGGCTGATTGCACTCTACAGTGGTACCTAATAGAAGTCCAACCAATACCAAATTTTATAGACACAAGTGGAAAAGACTCATGCATCCAAGGAGTATATACTCAGAGAATATAAAAAACTAAAAATTGGACAATTCTCCTCGACACACTAGTCAAAGGGCGTTCCCCAGCTATGACAACATCCTGTGGACCAGACACAAAAAACAGTGACGAAGCATGTTGTATCCCTAGTAATAAGTTATCAAAAGAATACAAAATTCCTAACACAACATATTTGATCTTATTATTAACTGGAAATAATACGCACCAAATTTATCAACTGCTGACAAGCAATTGTCCTCCATAGCTTTCCTTAGTCGAGTTGTTAGCTTCTCATCATACTTCACCCTAAAAAAACCAGTCTGCCCAATATTTAGTTTGACCCATGAATGTTCATCCAATTTGTCTTTATCCTTCTTCTCAAATGAGCTCGAAGTGCCATCAGAAAAATGGCATGGTTCAATTAAATTCAGGCTATCAAGTTTTCTTTCTAGCATGAACTTCTTGCTCTTGTCGTATGAACCAATACATAAGGTTATTGGAACGATCCAGAGACCATCACCGGACATACCAGAAGACAGGAATTGTGACTGCAACTCACAACACAATATAAAAGTGAATTGTGATGGCAAAACCCACAACAAATCCATCTTTGATTTTTGATCATGAGAGAGAGAGAGAGAGAGAGAGAGAGAGAGAGAGAGGGACCTGTTCAAATTCCAAAATATCATCTTTAAATTTTACACTGATTACTGGATAGCCCTGTTGCTTTGTCCACGTGTCCATCATTGCATTCACTTGAATGCCAGATTCTTCTGAAAGAACTTTCCACAAGTCGTCTGTCTTTGCATTTTTGCAAGCATATTTCTTCATGTATGAACTTAAAGATTTCTGGTTTAGGCAAAAAAGTAACATGACAATGGAGACAATACAGTAAAATTTCTCAACTCAACCACATGCATGAGGATCAAATCAAAATGACACATATAAAATACCATTCATGAATTCATTCTCGAGTCATTTGTTTGTTATGTGGATGGTGCAAGATATACAACTGTTTTACTAAAAGGTGCATTAAAGTTCACTTATCCAACAGCCACAATGAACATCTGTTTTGTTTTTTCTTTTTCTATCCCTCCTCAGTCCTCATATTTCATATAAATTTTAGTGTTATATTCTTACTTGACCTCTTGTGAAAGGGATTTCATAAACTTCAATCACATAAACTTTTAGATAATTGTGCCTCTTGAGTAGGGGTGCAATTCATGTTAGCAGGTTGTATTTGTGTCATGTCATAATAGGGTTTTATGTTATATGGATCAACCTAAATGTGACCCATTCATTAAACAAGTCAGACAACCCGTGTCACCTATTAATGTGCGGGTCATCAAAACTGTAGCACGGCATAACCCATCTAACAATCTTTTTACTATTTTTTTTTTTTCTTAATTATAAATGTAAATATAAACAAAAAGATTAATATTGAGTTCAAAATTATAGAATAACTAAATTTCTCATTTTATCTCAATAAATGACACAATGAACTAAGGATTTCACTAACCCCCAGGGAATAGCGTAATGATAAAGCCCTCACCTCACATGTTGGAGGTTGGAAGTTCAAATTTCCCTGGGGCATAGTTCAATTTTTTGTAACTTTGAACTAAACTTTTCCCCGATTCCACCAATTCCAATTCCATGTAGCCGAACATAGCCCGAGGCCTAAGGTTTTCCTGTAGTACCACCAACCACCCCCCCCCAAAAAAAAAACATTTCTTGTACCATTTTAAGGTTCAATCTTTAAAAGGCTCAAAATATTGCTTTAAACATACTTTTTAAAATTACAGTTTTGATCATAAATTTTTTTGAAGAGATCGACTGGAATTCTGAAAAAAGAAAAATTTCACAAGACAAGACAGATAGGTTTGATTGATCGATAAAAAAAATTGAAGAAAATTTTTTAATTAAGTCTAGTAAAATTTGACTGAAATGTCGGTCGATTGAAACCTGGATAGTGGCGCTTGATCAAAGTGTCGATTGATTGAAGTGGTGCCAGTGGTGCTCCACGGTGATCTTGATTGATCGTTGCCACGAAATAGTTTTGGAAACTCTCAAAATAGAATTATAAAAAGGATTTCTTTTCTATCCATATAGGATTTCTATATTGTTTATAAATTTGTGGTTATAGCATTATTTGCAATCGACAGTCGTATGGTCTATTTGGAGGCACAGGAATGCAGCCTTGCATGAAGGGTATAGAAAGACTGCTCAAGAGGCTGTTGTGTCTTGTTTGGAAGTGCCTACAGCTTCTAGGCTTATCCTTGCAGGACTTTCTTGCTCTTGATTTTAACTCTTGATGTTTATGTTGGTGGCTCTTGTTTTTTTCTTCCTTTCTTGCTTTGTTTTGGCTAACTATTGGAAGTGGTTCTACTCCATAGTGGCCTTGTACATGGGGGTATGCCCCCTTTAGTCCTTGTACTCTTTTGAGTTCTCTTTTTCATATAAAACAAACCCATTCAGGAAGGAAAAAAATTTTGGGATAGGGCCCAAAATCCATCGATACGCAACTTTATAGCATAGTTAAACAAAAAATGATGTTTTAGTGATTTTTAATGAATTTTTGAAGACCATTTAAATCGCTTTCGTTTTTAAAAGGTTTATTAATTACTCCAATTTTCACTAAATGAATAATAATAGATTTAAGAACGAAATTAATGGAAATTCACACTATATATAACATGTGAGAATTAAAAAACAAAATATAAAAATAAAAAATGAATTTGAAAATTAAAATAAATAAATAAATATATATGGTTTTATCAACATTTAACAATAAATCTATTAATATATGGTTTTGATCAATTACTTGTTTTGGTTGATAGTGATGATTTAGTTTTAAATAAGTAGTAAGTTTAACAAGAAGTAAAGACAGTTGAATGGAAAAGTGCTTGATGCCAAATACAACTGGTCAGGCGTTCAAGACGAACTCATTGCTTAAAATAAAAATAAATAAGATTAAAAAAATAATAATAAATAAATAAAATTTAAAAAAAGCATTGGAATGGCCAAGTTTGTGACAGAACCTTTTGCAAGCTGGTTGGATCTTCTAGTGTGAGTCTGTGTCAAAGGTAAATAAGGTATTATTGGGGTGATGTTTGGTTAACCTAGTTGTAAACTTCTCCATAGTGTTTTGTTTTGGGGTTTTTAACGTAAAAAAACTTGTGTCTCTGTTTTACTTAGCTGAGACACGTCAATACCAAATCAAATAGAAAATTGATCAAAGCATTAAAGTATTTAAATTTTAGATATTCATAAGACCTATATACCCCCTATACGTTTAATCAAACCTTGCCTACTCTAACACATCAGAGACATGGGTGTCAATCCAAAGTTCTTACGAATAAAAAAATAAAAAGAGACTGCCAATGCTCACCAGAACAGGAACCAAACAACCCCACCCCCCCCCCCCCCCCCCCCCCCCCCCAAAAAAAAAAAAAAAAAAACAACCCACATAAATGGAAAATCGTACTGAAAACAACTCCTAGGACCATCCACTCAACAAGTCATACATGCCTGCCAGCAAAACTACAGGATGTATACAGATATTTCTTCCTAGTTCCTAAAAAAATTACAACAGCTTCAGGATGCTTCTAAACCACTTCACATCATTTGAATTAGAAAACTAAGACACTAACTATAACAGCTAAGTAAACACATCCCTACTGAATAAGAACTGGAAAATAACAATCAACTCCTAAAAGTATCTGTTGAATTCAGGATTTATATTCCTATTTTCTAGGGAAGAGATTTTTATTTTAGTTAAGTTGAATTTGTGAATATAGAAAGTAGGAGATTTGATTACTTGATTTTTTTTATTTTCAAATCTGTTACTTATTAGATTTGATCTTCTTTCCTGTAATTAGCTGCTAAAATTAAGGAGATTTAATTATAGGTTAGTTGTATTTTTCTCCTATAAATTCTTTGTACCCTACAGTTTCAAAATGAATGAAATAAGGGATTACTTTACCCTTTTTTTTCTTCATGGTATCAGAGCACCCTCTGAACTGATAGAAATTTTGTTTTTTGGTCAAACAGTACCATCTCAGATGTTAACTCTCAACCAGAGACAATCCTTCCCAGCAACGAAGGTGGTGTAGCAGAAAGCTCTATTGTTCCCATTACAGGGCATAAACTGAACGGACAGAACTATATTCAATGGTCTCAGTCCGTTATGATGTTTATATGTGGAAAAGGGAAAGACGATTATCTCACAGCCGCTGCAAAGGCTCCACTGAAGGAAGATGTAAAGTTCAAGGTGTGGAAATCTGAAAACAATATGGTGCTGTCATGGTTAATCAATTCCATGAAAAATGAGATTGGTGAAAATTTCTTATTCTACGGGACAGCGAAAGAAATATGGGATGCAGCAAGAGAGACCTACTCTGACAATGAAAATACTGTAGAACTCTTTGAGATAAAGAGTCTTCTTTGTGATCTTCTACAAAGGGGAAATGTCAGTCACTCAATACTTCAACACTCTCACTCGTTATTGGCAACAACTGGATATGTTTGAAGCACTAGAATGGGACTGCCCTGGAGATAACATCAAATACAAGAAAATTGTTGAGAAAGAAAGAATTTTCAAGTTTTTGTTAGGTCTTAATAAAAACTTAGATGAAGTGAAAGGAAGAATTCTCGGACTGAATCCTTTGCCATCCATCCGTGAAGCCTTCTCTGAGGTTCGAAGAGAAGAGAACCGTAAGAAAGTGATGATGGGAAATCAAAACATCGCAGCCCCAAATGAGAGTTCAGCTCTTGTTTCTCATGGTGAACTCTACTGGTAATGACAACCGGAATAACAAGAACAGACCACGGTATGACCACTGTCATAAAACAGGACACACCAGAGATACCTGCTGGAAGATACATAGCAAGCCCGCTGATTGGAAACCGAAGAACAAATGGCAGCCACCTCCTGAACGTTAAGGCAGCGGCTTTACAGCCACTACCGACGAGCAATCGCCTGCAGAAACAACTCTTTTCAGCAAAGAGCAAATGGACCTTCTTCAAAAGATATTCAGCCAATCTCAATCAAATTCTATCATTGGAACTGGTTCTATAGCACAGAATCGTAATTTTTTGAGTGCTTTAAATGTCAAAAATGAGAAACCATGTTCCTGGTGTAGATATGGAGATTTGTACAAAAAGATATACAGAGAGAGAGAGAGAGAGAGAGCTCAGACAGTTTGAGGCTCAGCCCATATTTCCCATATATCTTTAACCCTAAAACATAAAGGGGGTTATGTACAATACAATAGGACCCCAGCATAAATACATATATACATATAAGTGTTTTAACACTCCCCCTCAAGCTGGAGAATATACATCATATAATCCCAGCTTGGAACAAATCGTTTTTAACCGATTATGACCAAGAGCCTTAATAAACATATCAGCTAATTGATCTTCAGACTTCACGAATGGAGTAGATATGTTTCCACTCAATATTTTCTCTCGAGTGAAGTGACAATCAACTTCAATGTGCTTGGTTCTTTCATGAAACACTGGATTGGATGCGATGTGAATAGTTGCTTGGTTATCACAGAACAGTGAAATAGGAGTCTTGACTATTAACCCAAGTTCTTCAAGAAAATGTTGTATCCACATTAACTCACTAGAGGTTTGGGCCATCGCCCTGTACTCTGCTTCAGCGCTAGACCGTGCTACAACTGTTTGCTTTTTACTTTTCCACGTAACAAGATTTCCACCAACAAATGTATAATAGCCTGTAGTAGATTTCCTATCTGAGGGAGAACCAGCTCAGTCAGCATCTATGAAACTTGTCACATTAAGATGACCATTAGGTTTATAACTTTATATAGTAATCCAAAACC